CATCTCAAGAATTCAAATGTAGAACACCACAATCGTTTTAATCTAAAAGTTGCTTTTTAAATCGCACAATAGATCTGGGACACCTTTGTTCGCACCGTACTAAATTAGGCAATTGCTGGCAACACTTGTGCACACACCAAAAAAGAGGCTGTGTCTGCAAGTCCGGTCTAAAGTAATGTTTTAGAGTGCCATTTTTAATGATACAAAGGTGTGGTTAAAAGGTAATCAAATTAAACTTTTTGAACCCACGTATTTTTGCCATATTTATTTGTCTAACAGAGGTGTAGTTCGGCTTTTTAATTTAATTTATATACAAACATTTCACTAGAGGCGCTAATATAACTATACATTCAAATGAATCTTACTAAAATAAATGCTAGTACTTAATCCTATGTAAAAATAGTGCGATGACCGCTGATTAGTTGAGCTTTTTTATAGTCTCGAGACATGATGTTTGTACGTGACTTAATAAGCCAGCAAACTGATAAATGTTATTCAAAGTAAATGTGACTTTTGCTGCGAGTATGAGTGAAACGAAACAAAAGATGATCGCTATCAGTATACCAAAAATTTATGTTATATAGAATAAATCATAACATTTGAATTCACCGTCCTATATATTAAAACTACATGCATTGTTTAATGAATTCAAAATATATTCATTTAATTATATTTCATAGTTTAGACCTGCGAGTAAGCAAACTCAAAAACAAAACTTAGCGCTAAGTCTGACTCCCGTATGTCAAAAGTGGACTTCGACATACGGAAGTCTTGTTTCTGAATACCACCCTAAGTCTTGACAATCAAAGATAACCCTTGGTATCTTCTTAAGTTCTTAGTCAAATCATTTATAACATTAATCCAACAATAATTTAACATTGTTTATTAAAACTTCGACTAACTATTGTATCCTCCTCTTCTTTAATTATTTTAATAATTTACTGTAACCTAGACTATAGAATTTTATCGATGGTCAAAATTTTCACCAATGTCTCTGTTTAGACTACCAACTTTTAGTTTCACAGATACAAAATCATTTAACTATAATTTCTTTAAGCACGCCACGTCTGCTTTACCCCTCAATACTACGCCTGCACCTAATTTGACCCTTTAGTATTTACCGCGAGTCCTAACACTGTTTGTTACGTCCAATCCCCAAGACAGGTAAATACTAGCGATATGTCACTCTAAACTTCTATAGCGAAAACAGATGTAAATGTACTCACCAACCCGTAACAGCGGACCAATTCGGAACAAATGCGCATGCGCTTCGCTGTTTCGACTCACCGGACATACTATGCCCCGCCACAGATATATCTACCCATTTTAATATGTAGGAGAATTCAAGCTTAGCTTAAATATGGAACACTCTCTCATTAAATTACTTTTATGTTTTTATGCATGTGTTATTTTCATAACATTATTAAACGATAATATTGTACGCTCACATATGCTGCTATAAATGTAAACATATCTAGGATTTTAACAAGCTTTTTCACAACAAATTATAGTTAATATAGAAGTAACTGATACGTAATAAAACATTAATTTATTTACCGACCTTGTCTATGGATTGTTGTTGTTATGGAAGCTTGTGCTTCTCAGTGTAATTCTAAATTTAAAAGTTCTTTGATCGAGCACAAACGAAATCACGATAATTTATATTAACTGTTATTCGAAAAGTAAATAAGTAGGTAAAGCCACTCAACTCGCAACTGAACGCGAATCGCGTTGTTTATATATATATTATGACTCACCAATAGTCAAAATTTACCTCTCTGCATCCCTTTTTCCAAGACAATCGACTACGATGAGCTGGTACATAAGCCGCTTAACGAAGAAGATAGTCTTAACTGCCATCACATGTACTCAACTCCTGCGTACGTACCAGTCTATCAGCACGAACCAGTGGGTAATAATATCCAGCAACACTTCCGTGCAACTCACAACCACTGTGAATATGCCAACGAATATGAACCTACTTTTTTTTTGACACCAAAGCTGACTCGTACTTCTCCAACATTTTCACCTTATCAAAATCAATCGCTAACCAATAAGCAAACCCCGATGTCATGCACGTGTCCGAAAACCAATAAATCATGTCAATATGAATGCGCTGAATGTAAGTGTGACAACCCTAAGACAACAAAGAAAAGTGAGAGCGAAGATGTTATCGTGTATATTAGAGATGTTGGTTGTCAATTTCGTAATAAACATAGTCCTTGCAGTAATTTGTTACAATCAAATACATCAAACGTTTCATTTGAAGAAGATACAGGGCAAATGGGCAACTATTTCTCTAATTATCATACCCTTCGATATGAGGATAAGTACACAAACCCTGTCTCTGGAGGTGCCGACAGCCACTGTCCGTCGTACCGTGAGACTCTCACGGATAGAAAACCACATTCCGAAATAAATACAGGTTTTGGTCCAAGAATCTCTCCCGTTGTAGCAAATTGCTATTTGAATGACCCTATTTTGGAGTACTGTATAACTACAAATAAAGACTCAAATAAGAAAAGAAGAAAACCGCAAAGCATTTTGTACACTGCGAGCTCACGAAAAAGTTTTAAAAAGAGTAAACATAAGATATCCTCTGTGAAGAGACGAAGAAAATCTCGACTGAGTTATCAAAGTTTTCTAAACTCCGACTCAAAGAAAGTTCATTGAATGAGAAATCATTTTATATCAAACGTGGTAATCTAGAGGAGAAAAATATTTTATATGAGTATTATCGGCGCTTTAAAATAATAATTTTACGTCTTATGTCTAAACGTATAAAACCAAAACCATTCCACTACCGTAAATCAAATATGCTTTGTCTAATTTATCTTCGACGTTTCAAGTATTAAACGTTTATTCAAGAAACACTCTTTGTTTTAACGTTTCAGTCCCTACAACAATACTGGCAATTACATACACACATTATTTCGCAGTGTAGTCCATGTAAATAATGCTATAGTATTAATAGAATTAATTTAATCATCGAAACTAAATTTATAATGAGTCTATGGTAATATATATTTATATTATGTTACAATGTTAACATTCTCGTACTAAACCATTAATATATTTAAATATTCAATTGATATGTTAATGTTGTAAATTATATAATTTCCAGAGTTTAAATCCTCGCTAAACGGCACTTGTGTAGGTTTGGAAGGTAAATCATTTACATGTCTACAAAAATTTCAATGATATTAATGCTGTAAATTAAAAATAAACGGCAATGAAGCAGACGGACAAAAACGATATAACTTATTTGGAATGTCTCATTATTGGAAAGTTTTTAAATAATTTTGGTTAAAAAAAGATATTTCTTTTCAGGAAAGAGCATTTAGCACTTAACTTTACTACCACTTGGTTCTAATTTATCGAAATTACCATTAATATTGTTAGAGAGAAAACTAAAGGAATTATTAATGGTAACAGCAAATTATTAAATCGATTTTTTGATTAATCTTATTTTCTGTACCTTGTGATTGAACTTTTCTTTCAGTCTGTCTGTTTGTAAACTACAAACAGCTATATAAATATTGTTCAACCCAATGTACTAATGTATTTGTTTAAAAAGGTAAAAATATATTATTTTACTTTACATTGATGGTCATGTTTCAGAATGATAGAAATGGATATAAATGTAGTAGACCAAAAGACCAAGCAAGAAACAACTTTTAATATGGAGTTAGAAAAAGACGAGACTAGACTACTGTATGTTGGAAATGCTAAAGTGGCTAGAAGATGAAAGAGAACCTGTATTATTAATACTGTGTAATGTGTTTGAAAGGGTTGTGCTTCCTACTTATGGCATTCGGTGAGTTGCATTTTAATTTGGTCCACAACTATATATGTTAGATTGAACACACCATCATTCACCATCTTACCATTATTCATGAAACCTTTTACATACTAAATACTATAAACTTACTAGCATCAGCTCGAACAATGTCTTGTACCCATATCTATGCCACCTCATGTGTTGGTGGCCTTTTAAATCCTCGTACTCACTCTGAGCATTGACCTCGTTCCAGTCATTTGTAGCCTCGTGGACGCTTATATACGCGTTCATTAGCCCTACAAACTCTGGTAGGAAACCTGTATCTTTAATCAAATAAGGGTACTTTGATTTCACGTATAGTAGTAACCTGAAATGGGAAAAATATAAGGATACCAGCTTGTGTATGGAAAGCGCTCTGTCTGTGAATTAGAACGTCTTTATGACGAACAATAGTACGATTGACACACATTATTAATGTTTCATACTAACGTTATGAATTGTATACTATTCTACTATATTGGGAACTCAAATTATTATTATGATTAGTACTTATTATATTGTAGTGCCTATAACACGCATATACTCGTAGTTTTGGGAATAAAAATTCTTGTAATGGTTGAAAATATTTGATACACTGGCTAGTTATAACAATAACTTATCGGTACATTGCAATTTAAAATGTTCCTCCATACTTTTCACAAGCTAATTTAACTTATCGAGTCTTATTGAAAAATGGAGTTGCATCGGGAACACTTTTGAGCGATATTTTTAACGATTCTAAACTGTCACTTGAACCTAGAGGAATCCAATTGAATTAGCAACCGAGGTTCTAAATTAACCGTCCACCATTGATTCTATGAATTTGACGTTGAAGGCTGAAGAACATTCCAAGAATAATTCCATTCAAGAAGTTTAGTAAAACACATTCTTACAAAACTGTTTACACGACACTATCTATGGCAAAGGAGATTCGTCTCAAGAAGATTTTATTAAATTAACATAATTTGACACTTACAGTAGTTCGCGCGCCTAGCAAAACTATACTGTGTTAGATCGTCGTGTTCTCAGACGTGAGAAATTTGGGTGTAGGTACCTATTCCAACGTCACAGAATTGTATTCTAAAACATTGATGATGATTAGCCTTTATTGCTGACACCCATACAATTATTTAAGTTACATAAAAAAACACTTAATTCTAACACATAAATAAAATAAAACTTAATCTAATGCATCATATGACCCGTTTTTGGTAATCAGCGTGTCCTGTGACACGTAGGCCTCTTCCAGCTGTTTCCATTCTTTTCTGTTATTAGCTCTTCTTGTCCAAGTTGTGCCTCCTATTATCTTAATATCGTCTGCCCATCTCTTGGTCGGTCTTCCTCTTTTCCTTTTTCCATCACGTGGTTGCCATTCTGTAATTATTTTTGTCCATTTCAACCTGCTATCTCTCGTCATGTGCCCAGTCCAGCGCCATTTCAACTGCCTTATTTTCTTTATAATGTCTTCTACTTTGGTCGTTGATCTGATCTCTTCTGCTCTTTTTCGATGTCTCAGTGTTACACCCACCATGCTTCTTTCCATTCCTCTTTGGCATGTTCTCAACTTTAGAAGATGTTTCTGAGATAAAGCCCAAGTCTCGCAGCCGTATGTAACACATGGTAGGATACATAGATTGAACACCTTTTTCTTAGCTACTATTGGGAAGTCTTTACTTTTAAGTATTTCCTTGAGTGACCAAAATCTCTTCCAGGCGCTAGACACTCTTCTTTCTATCTCAAGATCCATTTGGTCATTAAATGATATTATTTGCCCTAAATATACGTAGTGGTCTACATATTCGATAGCATCTCCTCCTATTTGTATCATAATAGTTTCTCTATTTGTCATTATTTTCGTTTTAGATTTGTTCATAGAAAGCCCAACTATCTTGCTTGCTTCTGTCAGCTGTTGCAGCATAGTTTGAAGCGTCTTTGCGTTATCTGAAATGATCACTAAATCGTCTGCGAATCTTAGGTGGTTCAGTTGTCTGCCGTTTATGTTTATGCCGACCTTATCCCATTCCAAATTTCTAAATAAACTCTCCAAAATGGCTGAGAAGAGTTTTGGGGACAAAGGATCGCCCTGTCTCACACCCATGGCTATAGGATATTCTTCACCCGTTGTCTCTAGTTTGATATAAGCCGTGCTACTTGTATATATATTTCTAATTATACGTATGTATTTTTTTGGTATACCTTGTTGTATTAAGGCTCTCCAGAGGGAATCGTGCTTTATAGAGTCGAATGCTTTACTGTAGTCTACAAAAGCAATGTATAGTGCTTTTCCGTATTCTTTTGCACTTTTGTATTAGCTGTTTTATAACATGTATATGATCTACAGTTGAGAATCCGGATCTGAATCCAGCTTGTTCCATGGGTTGTTGTTCATCCATTACCTTCGTTATTCTTCGCAGGATCATTTTGGAGAAAACTTTATACATGTTGGACATAAGGCTTATAGGTCTATAGTTTTCTATTGTGTTCCTGTCACCCTTTTTGTGGAGCAGTGTAATTATGTTCTTCGTCCATTGAGAAGGTATGTATTCCGTTTTTAGTATGGTGTTGAATAGTTCAGTAAGTTTTCTTAGGTTCCCTGGTGCTGCTGATGATACTTTGATCATCTCATTAGTTATGTGATCTGGTCCAGGCGCTTTTCCATTTTTTAGGCTTTTGATTGCTCCGTTTCTGAAAGGAGAAATTTAGGTACCTCTTCTTCGTCTTGTTCAAGATTTACTGAATTCTGTGAGGTATTATCAGTCTCTAGTGGATAGAGGTTTCTATAGAAGTCTGTTGCAGTTTTCAATATATCTTTTCTTTTTGTCTGTTGTTTGCCTACGTAGTTCTTAATGTTCGGTATCCATTGTTATTATCAATTTTAGATTTTGCTTGTTTTTTCCAAGTTTTAAGAGCTGTTTTCTTTCTTCCATTAGCTTTTGAGTTTCTTTTCCAATTTGTTTCTTGTTAGATTGCGACTTAGAGTTCCAAGTATTTCATTTACTTCATTGATATATTTTCCTTCTATCTGGTTTTTGACTTCATTGTCAGGGATTTGTTTTACTATCATTAGCTTTGTTTTTGTGTTGTATTTATTTCTACTTTTCTTTGGTTCGATACATTTTATGGTGGCTCTTACTAATCGATGATTGGTGTTGAAGTTGAGTTGATTTAATACACTAACGTTCTGGAAGGGTTTCCTATTGTTGGTTCCGATGTAGTCGATTTCATTTTTGTGGCGTCCGTCCGGTGATATCCATGTCCACTTCTTCGCCGTAACTTTTTTGAAGAAACTGTTCATGAATGCTAAATTATTTTCGAGAGCGAGATTGAGCATTCGTTCTCCATTTTTGCTCCTTGGGCCGAAGCCGAAGTCGCCTATGATGTTCTCTTCACCAGGACGTCTGCGTCCTATTCTTCCATTGAAATCGCCCATAACTATGATGTTTTTGAAAGTATTTTATAAAACTGTAGTCAATTGGTTGTAAAACTTATCTTTGATATGTTCTTCATGATTTTCAGTAGGTGCATAAATTTGTATAATTGACCATTAATTGTCCTTGAAACCTGGAAGATTTATATAAAGAATGGCTATTCTATCTGATATGCCCTTAAATTCTTCTATATTTGGCTGTAAGTATTTTTTAACCATAAAGCCTACTCCATGGGATCCTTTTATTTCGCCTTTATGATAGAAGATATACTCTTTATGATCTTCAATGCTTTCGCCTATTCTTCTTATTTCGCTTAATCCTAATATGTCCCAGTTTATCTTTAAAAGAGCTAACTCTAGCTCGGTAAGTTTTTCGTGTGTTCTCAATGATAGACAGTTCAGAGTAGCGATATAAAGTATCTTATTTTCGATTCGGCTTGGAGTGATGGAACTTGTAATGTTTTTGTGAATCTTCTCATCTCGTTTCTGAGCTGAAAGGGAGTGGTCGACAACCCCCACGGTGACCAGCTAGCTTGGGGTGGTTAGTGCGTTTTGTCTTTTGTTGTTGTGTTTGAAAGAATTATGTTGGTTCGAGCGGTCAGTGGCGCATACTAGTTTTTTTGCTGTTTCGGCGTTGAATTCGAGCCATGCGCTTCGTAGTAATCAAGTAAGTTTATTTTTTTACTTGTTGATTGGGGTTGATATTGTTTCGGAGATTCTGAGAAGTTTCTCTTTCTTTTTTCAGATTTCTCACGCGTATTCTCGTATATAACGAGCTTATCTTTTTTAATGTGGCAAGTTTTCCCTTTAGCACGTTCAGCTTTTAGTTCGGTTTGTAATAGTTTTCTTTTTTCTAATACTTCTTTGGAAAAATCTTCTTTTACATACATGTTAGATGGGAGTTTGTTTCCATTTTTAGTACCTCGTATTTTCTCCAAAGGCTAGTGAAGTTAACGAGAACTGGGCGAGGATTTTCACTCTTTTTGCCCAGTCTATAAGCTGAGCTTAGCTCTTTAGGGTCCAAGGATAAACCAGTTGAATTATTTATCAACTTCAGTATGTGTGTAAGCAGGTTAGGTTCTTCTTGTTGGTTTTCATGTATGCCAAAAAATACTAAATTATTTTTCCTTTTCCCATCTTCAAGGAATTTTACTTTGTCTTTTAGAACGACGATCTCCGATTTAAGTTTCTTGTTTTCTTCAGTTAATTCTGCTAACTTCACATTTATACTGCTTACGACGGACTTTGTTACACTTTCTGTTATAATTCTCGTCTGATCTTCCAACTTTTCGCACAGCTTTTGGTGTATCGATTCTATAAGGTATTCCATTTCTTTTTTGTCCATACTTTGAAATGTTGTTTCTAATTTTTTTTTTTTTTTTATTACAGAATTATTTTTCCTTTTATATTCTATCCGTTAGAAATAGATTAGATATCTTCAAGTAAAATTATAAAAACAAAAATTCGAAATTAATTGAAGTGTCAATATTCCGTGTCTAGGTTTGAACTCGGGCCGATACAAATGTTCGATTCAGGAACACAGCTTATCTGCGACGCCGAGATACTGTATGACGAAGAAGACGAATTACTTGAACAGTTTCTTTCTTGAGTGACGTTTACAAGGAGTGACTAATGTAATATTAGGTCGCTGCAAGTCACGTATACCCGTTTAACATCACTGTTACAAAGTCGTAGTTTTTTTCTTCTTTTTGTAGTAATATCAACAAAAATTGACTGATCCTTGTTCCAAGTCACTTGCACTAGATTTGTACACGCACTTTTAATTGTTTTAGTCAAAACGAAAAGTCACCGTTGCAATAACACAAATTAAAACGTGAAAATGTTCTATTTTTTACACTAATAATGAGGCAGATACGTTTGCCTGTGGTATATCTTCTCCTGGTTCAGTTTGATATTTACTTTTTATTGTGTATTCTCACTTATTTCTATTTTTAATTGGTTATTTTGTGAGGACTCGATATTCAACTTGCGCCTACCCGCAACGAACGAACCTAAAACATTGGTATAACATAAATATATGTGTATGAAATGTATAACCAACCATGGGGCAGTTTTTCGTAACTTTCATGGTTTAATATTTGTCATAAATAAACCAGGGTAACGGAACCACACTACGAGTCGTCTACGACGAGGTCGCCTCTGCCCGGTACAAATAACGTCGGATCAGAATCCGAATACAGCATTTCATATATCGTTATACTAATTGTCTACTTTATTGCTTCGAAAATCGGTCGCATAAAAATACCTCGATCCGGGAGATATTGCAAGACGACTTATGGACTTTGGTAAGTTAATTAATTTTTTTTCTATAATCGGACGTCGAGACAGCATTCGAAATTCCACCCATATCACCTCAACGTCCATGGTTCCACAACGGAGTGTTTTAAAGGCAGTTTTTGCCCTGCCTTAACTGCCCACTGAAGTATTTGCATTAGTGTCACTTAGATTTACGAACTCTTGAATATTAAGTCAAGTTAGTTTTTTGTTAATCCGGCGTCGCAACCCCACTACCCCTAATGTTATCTTAGTTATAAGCTCATGTTTTAAACAATTAAAGGCAGTTAGTTATATACTACTAGCTGACCCGTCAAACGTTGTTTTGTCATGTATAATATTTCTAGGCAACATGTTCAATAAAATAACTATCTAGTATAATAAAAAATAGGGGTTGATCTTAGAGGGGTTGTATGTATTGTAGTATGCTGTATCATAAAAAAATAAAACAAATTTTTGTCTAAAAAATATAAATTTAGGGCGATGAAAAATAGATGTTGTCCGATTCTCAGACATATTTATTTATTTATTTATGCTTTAATACCTTATTAACATACACATAACAAAAGTACAAAAAAAACATGTTACAAAAAGTTATAAGGCAACGGGCGGCCTTATCGCTAACAAGCGATTTCTTCCAGGCAACCCTAATGTGGAATAATGAAAAAGAAACACCGACAGAGGGTAGAGAGTACAAGAATTACAAAAATTATTAACAAAAAAAAAAAAAACTCAAAATAACCCGTAACTATATATCTAAAAAAGTAAAGTCTAAAGGAAAATAACAATAATCATAAATAAAAGTATGTATAGACAAAAATTTAAAATATAATCAAAAGGTTATCAGAGTCAACAATAATTAATATATAAGCAGAGGCAGCTAATTACGAGGCAGAAAGAAAATGATCAAGAAGAAGCTTTTTGAATAAATTTAAGGACTGAGCCCGTCTAATGTCAATTGGAAGAGAATTCCATAGCAGAATACTTTGCACAGTAAAGGAGGAGTGATAGAATTCAGTTTTATGAATAGGAGTTTCAAGAATAAGGTTGTCCAGAGAACGCAAGTCAAAACTACCGCCAGAGAGAAACATAAAATTTTGCTTTAAGTAACTAGGAGTTTTAGGATTAAAAAGAACATTAAAAAGAAGTTGTAGAATGTGCATCTTACGCCGCAATCGAATGGGTAGCCAATTTAGCTTTCTTCGGAACTCCGAAATATGGTCAAATTTACGAAGACCAAATATGAACCTGATGCAAACATTTTGTAAGCGTTCTAACTTATCAAGCTGCAACTCAGTTAAATCAGGATAACACACATCAGCGTAATCAAGAATAGAGAGTAAAAGAGAATGAGCAAGAGAAATTTTAGTTGAGATAGGCAAGAAATTGCGTAACCTATTAAGTGCGTGAGAAGAAGAAAAAATCCTCCTGCTAAGTTCATTAATTTGGGGCTGCCAAGACAGGGTTGTATCCAAAGTAATGCCCAGGTTCCTAACAGTGGAGCAAAACGGAACAACAGTACCATCTATAGTAAGCTGGGGTAAAGTTGACCAATTTATTCTCATTATATATGATGCACTCCCGATGATAATGGCCTGGCTCTTGTAAGGGTTTATCTTAAGACCATACGACTTACTCCATTGAACAACCTTGTCTAAGTCTAAGTTTGTCTTCTGAATTGCAGACGGCAAATCATTGAAGGTAGACTGGTTGTAAATTTGAAGGTCATCAGCATAAAGATGAGAGTTGGAAGAAAGTTGATTAGTAATAGAATTTATAAAAAGCGAAAAGAGAAGAGGAGAAAGGATCCCACCCTGCGGTACGCCAGCAGAAACATGAGACCAAGAGGAAAAGCTGTCGGTTAATTTAATTCGTTGCTGACGTTCGGTTAGATAGCTTTTAAAAAAATTAATCACTGTAGGGGACATATTAAAAGAACAGAGCAAAGCAAGAAGCACATCAATGTCTACCGAATTAAAGGCATTACTAAAGTCAAGCAAGGTAAGTATTGTGAGTTTTTTATTATCCATGCCACCCCTAATGTCATCTGTAATCTTAGTGAGTGCAGTTGCTGTACTGTGTCCAGGACGAAAACCGGATTGAACTGAATTAAGAAGGGAGTGTTCGTTGAGGAAGATAGCTAATTGCTGATGAAGAATACGTTCAAGAACCTTCTCACGCGCCAAAGGAGAATCACACAATCTCAGCTTAGCTTTAGCACGATTTTTAGTTTCTATGATTAATTTGATTTCATCAGTTAACCATGGAGAAGGTAAATGTTTCACTTTTACTGGCCTTGTTGGAGCATGAACATCATACAGTTGCGTTAGCAATGAATTAAAAAGCCCAACTTTCCTATGAATATCTCTCTCACTATACACCGAGTTCCAGTCCAACTCAGCAGCATCGGCAGATAAACTTTCTACATCAATGCCTCTAAAATTGCGTCGTAGCATAAGAATTTGAGGTTTTACTTTAGGTGGACGCAATTTATAGGAAAGGAAGATAAGATCATGGTAAGAAAAGGCATCAGCAGGGATTTGGCCATGCTTATGCACCAGGATAGGGTTAGAAACGAAAATGAGATCCAGCAGCGAAGGGGAGGAATCTGGAAAGTGATGAGTGGCATTCAAAGGTAAGATATTTAAATTATAAGATTCGATGGTAGATGTTAATTTGCGCGAGCGATGGTCATTTTTCAACAAGCAAGTGTTTAGATCACCCATTAAAATGGTATGATTATAGTTATTAACAAAATTATCTAAAAGCAGACCAAGGGCGGAAAAATAGTCTACATTCGAAGAGGGACTATAAAACACACCAAGGAGTAATTTAGAATGCGAAAAGGAGATTTCCAGTAACAAATGCTCAACTGCATCATTTGGAGGGGGTTGCGGTGAGCTGCTAAGAATAGTATAAGGAATATGGGCACGTAAATAAATAGCAACACCACCCCCAACTCTGCCCAGACGGTCGTTCCGTAGGAGATGAAAGCCAGGAATGGGAAAGAAAGTAGAAGGAAGACTAGGTTTAAGCCAAGTCTCAGAAATAAGAATGGCGTGAATATTAGAGTATTGAAAAGATGAAAACAGATCGGAATAATGCGCCGGAACGCTTTGAGCATTGATGTGGACGACATTGAAATTTTTAGTTAGGCCTACAAAGGAATTAGACAGATGCACATTCAAAGGGGAAAAGGAGGTCTATCAAGGTCTATCAAGTAAGCTAGCCTCATAACTAGAACTACCTAATATAGCTGACGCTGAAGGCGACTGAAAGCTATCTTCACTGACAGCCATTATGAGTGAAAACACTTAATAACAATGACGATAAAGCTAATCTAAAAGTTACAAAAAATATATAATAATAATAATAAATAAAAAACGAGTAAAGGAAATAAAAATAAAAATATGAAAATAACACAGATAAAGCTAAACTACTACGCTAACAACTGCGAATAAAAGTTTCTTCACAGATTAAATACACAGTACCAACTGGCATCTTCTTTAAAAAAAAAAACATATAATTACAGCAAAAGGAGAAACCATGCAACAATACAGCGGTTAACTATTATAATAAGAAATTATGATGTTAATAACTTTTATAAAAAAAGTTATCAATGTCCATGAATCTACTTAACCAAATACGTGCGACCGTCAAGCGTCAAAAATCAGATGTCAATTAGGGATTTTGACATACGACAGCCATACGCGCTACAAACAGCAAAAACTTAAACATTTTAAAACTAAGAGTTCACTAACAATAACAATCAACAGTCCACAAAACACTAAGCATAAGCAACCAATTAGCAATTAGCCAAAGTTAACTTCATATGACCCAACTTAAGTTTAAATATGCTATATACACAAATAATAAACAGTGAGAATGATAAAAAAAAAGGAAAAAGTTTAAAGTTATGACAAAATATGGCCAATTGATGGTGCAAACAGCTAGATGTTTTATACATTGGACACCTAGCATATTCAATACAAGAGAAATTACCAAGTTAACTGTTACAATTACAACAATACAGCAATTAATCAAATTAAGACAATATAGTGGTACAAAAAGTTAATATAAAGTTCAAAATTAGGATCAAACAAGCATCTGAAAAACATAAATTATATAAGAGGGATTTGAAATGGCAACTTAAACTATTGGCCTTTTGATTAACCTTTTGGGACGTTTGTTGTCCCTAGAGACAGTCATATTACTAGGTTGTTTAACAGTTGCTGCAGAAGAGGGAAGAGGAATAGCTTTCAACTCAGCCATAGAATTCACTTGGTACCGGGTGCCATCAGGAGCAATAATGTGAATGGTGCCATTCCTTGTCCAGCACTTAGAGATACCAAATAACTTTCTTGCCTCCATAAAGGTGTCATGCCTGACTTTATTAAGGAATTCTGATATAGTTATACCTGTACCCTTCAGTTGAGTTTTACTGTACCATATGCTATCTCTCAAGTGAACATCCCGGAGTTTCACCAATATAGGCCTAGGAGTATCTTTCTTAGCCTGACCCAAACGATGGCAACGACTTATTTGAAGATCCTCAACAGTGACACTAAGATGTTCGGTGATCACTTTTGCGAATACAGCAGAGGTATCTTCCTTGTTATCCTCAGCAACCCCGTGAACCAACAACATCTTCCTGCGGCTGCGCATCTCTTCTTGGTCATGACACTTAGACAATAGCTCGACCTGAGATCTACAGTAGATTCTGAAGGGAACACAACATAAAGCTACGAAAACTTTCAAACTCCACAACTAGTCGTGAAGTTGGGTTGGCTGTGGTGGAAAGAGCAGTAGCATCCTGCAGATCCTTACGGAATTCCGCCATGCCGTTTTTAAGGACGACCGCAAGATCTTCAATGGTCTTCTGAACTGCTTCCATGGTGTCAAAAAAAAAGTGAAAACTTGCACTTTAAAGGAGAAAAAGAGCCAGAGGATATCAGGTACTCAAACACACATCAGAAACTTCACATATACACTTAAATTTCAAAAATAAATAGAGAGCAATTTAAATACGTGTGACTTGAACGACAACTACCCGCAATTTTTTACATACCCAATATGCACACAAAATTTCATGAGAATCGGTCAAGCCGTTTCGGAGGAGTATGGCAACGAAAACTGTGACACGAGAGATTTTATATATTAGATTACCCAGCTTCCAACAAAGTGTTTCATTTAACATATATCTGAACATACAACAACTGCCACCGAACTTAACTCGCGTTTTATTAAAAATACAGTTTAAATTAAATTTAACACCAGATAAGACATTACAAGGGGGCACAATCAGTAATTTTTGCAAAAAGTTTATTGAAAATATCCAGTTGACGGCAATAGATGGCGCTGTGACAACTTTCCAATAGACTACTCATAATATCAAATGTACTGTTAACAATGATAATGTTAAAAAACGTATTTATTTTAAAAAGTTTTAATTGAAAATGTAGTACTGGCGTATAACAAAGATACACAAAATAATAGTTTAAAATTTTACTTACAGTCTTCCCTGATCCCGTTTGTGCGCATCCCATCAGGTCCCGGCCATTCATAATGATTGGTATGGCGTGTTTCCGAATCGGCGTGGGCTTTTTATATCCAGATTTTAACACATTTTCCACAACCAATTTCCTAAGGTTAGCTCTTTCGAAGCTATCGATTGGTTGAGGCGGATTCACGCCGGTAACCTGTTGAATAAAAAGATATTAAAAGAAAATAATGTTTCAATAATTGATACTATGACTATGTTTTTATCAGAACAAATATTATAATATATATTTTATTGATAATAAAAGCTACATAATGTATATTTAATATTATTGATATTTTAGCGAGTAAATTAGTATTTTTTTTAATGAAAATTAGACTATGGGAAATATGTTGTATAAAAAATTGCATACTGATGATATTGGGTGGAATTTTCAAAATGTGACTGTTACGTTTTTCAAAAATTGAACATACCTTTACAGCAATATGATCGAATTTGTCAAAATTTATTCCTGAACTAATCCAATTGCCGAACATTTCGTCTACATTCTCTGTGGGGTCTGGTGGTATGTAGGTTACAGGCTCAGGCTCAGGCTTCATGACTTCTCCATCACCTTCATATGTAATCAAAATAAGCTTATATTAAGACAAGGTTGCATTATTAAAAAAACGTTTTAGTAAATAATTTATTGTATAAAATTAATATACATAAAAATAGCTATAACACCACGAACATTTGAATTATCACAGCCCCGTTTCACGTTGTCTTAACAAACTGTAACAGAAAAAAATAATGATTTTTATATTCTAACTTAATAATTCTTCCGAAGCTTTCTAAACCTTTGGCAGACACATTTCTTTGACTGTGTCATATAGGCACATCACATTTTCGATCACAGGTCCTTCCGCATTATACGCCAAGTGCGTTGTAAAAAGGTTTTAACGTAATAATTTCCACACGAGTGGAATTCAGCGCACTAGGCGTAAAATAACCATGTAAAGGTGTTACAAATATTTTTCAGACTTTTAGTGTTTAATTTTTATAATAAAGTTAAACGATATTTCATATTAATATTATTGCGTTTCAGCCGTAAGAATTTTACCCTCATAAGCCTAAAAAGTTTCACTTCAAAAATCTATTGAGATATTAAAGATAACACTTTAAGACAATTAAATGTTTTCAGATCCACCGAACCACATTCCAAGAAGCAAGATGACGCCGCAACAATACTGACTGAGGTGGAAACACCATCACTCCAATGTCCAGAGCATGTTCGCGCAATTGCTTGAAAAAGGTATACCCATTACTCTAGAATTTGTGTATCACCTTGACGTCCGCGGTTCCAACTGAGCGTTTTTAAAGCAGCTTTCGTGGAACCGGCTGCCCACTGAAATATTTCCGAAGCAATTCGACTTAGGGTCCTTCAAAGGGCGTACCAATCCTTAAATCCTTAATAAGCAATTGATCAGCGTTCTGTGTTCGTACTAGTGTTGAATGTGAATTGATCCAGCTGGGGAACCTTTGACTTCATATTAGAGCCGCACGCTGAAGCCTGAAGGCTTTGGAGAGGGTCTTCATTAGTTTATAATGGAAACTTACAATTCTTGATTTCAAAGTAAATACTATTTATATTAAGGAATATATTTTACATTTATTTTTATTGACAGCTGTTATTGAAACTCGTAAATAACTTTTTATTTTCTTTGCTCTGTTCTCTTTATTTGTGACGTGACGAGTAGGTGTTCTACTCGTCACATCACAGAGTATTGAAATATAATTTTAAATGTGGATGACAGTTATTGTAATTTAATATATATTATCTATGCTGTGGTCGCTTTACTCTGTGCGGTGACGAGTAGAACAAATTTAAATTTATTCTTAAATATGGAAGACAGTTATTGAAACTCGTAGTTCAAATTCTATTATCTGTGCTTTGTTATTTTTCTACTTTAGGACGTTACGAGTAGAAGACATTTAAATTTTATTTTTAAATATGGAAGACAATAATTGTACTGTCACAGAGTAGATAGAGAACAAGGGTATAGAAACTACACATTTAAGAGGCGCGTAAATTAAATTGGGTCATAGAGTACAAAGAGATTATGTCAATGGATGGATACGCATTGTATAATGTATAGCCTGTGTGACCTTGGTGCTACTGCGATATATTATGAAGAGAATTCAATGTATTCATAGATATTTTTCTCTATAATTCTATTGCAACATACAAATATACAGTATTTATAATTAACTACCTAGTAATAATAATAATGGTTAATTTGTCGAATCACGAGTTATATGGCGGTTGTTGTAGATATGTTCAGATATATGTTAAATGAAACTCTTTGTTTGAAGCTCAAACTCAAAATATCTTTATTCAAGTGGGTAACCAAGTACACTTTTGAATTGTCAAGTTAAATTAATTGTAAATTTACATTTACTACCAGTTCGCAAGTCAAGGGCGTAGAGCGGGTAAGAAGAACTGGCAAGAAACTTTCCGCCACTCTTTTTAATCGCCAAGTATTGTCATACAAATTGTTTGAACTGGAGCAAATCAATCCCAAGGATTAGGATTGTTCAGTCATATTATGTTTGTAATTTAATATTTAGTAATAAAGTAGATTCAACGCGAAGCAGACGTTTCATTGCACTAAAATTATACTTAATAGTTCACCAGTCAAAAAGCAACCTTATCGCCGCAACATATGGTCGCAATCTCGCCGGATCTTGTGTCTACTGAGCTGCATCGAAGGAACAATAGACTACGCATTCCATTGCGATAAGGAACACGTTTAGCAACTATTTTGTGCAATTTTTAGACTTATAACTTTTGAATAATATTGAAATAGAACGTGCAAGTGACTTAAAAGTGAGGATTATGGCAAATGTGGAACAGTTATTAAGTGTACTTGAAAATAATAATGAACTATTAAAAAGACTCAAATAAATATTAAAAAATGTGCAAAGGCTAGACTTACGAAAGGTTATCTACAAACACGGATGGAGTGTATAGAAAGTTACTGGAAGACGTATAAAAGTGCACATTTAGATTTAATAAAAATTACGCCGCGTGAACAAAAGTCAATTTTACCATATTTTGTCAATGAGGATTATTATTTGATCGAGGATTTATATTTATGTATGGTGTCTGACATCAGGGATATGTTAGAAGGTCTTGAAATTCAAAGAGGACAACAATCCTGTAATCAGGGGAACGTCTCCACTGCAGTCGAACACAACGTACAATCACAGGTTCGACTCCCGCGCATTGAATTACCTACTTTTTCGGGTAATTATGAAGAATGGCCTTCTTACAAAGATATTTTTGTTGCACTGGTACATGATAACACGTCACTATCTAATGTTCAGCGACTACATTATTTGAAATGCAGCATAACAGGTGAAGCAGCATCCTTATTAAAACACATCCAAATCACGGAATCGAATTACTTATCTGCTTGGGAGACTCTAAAACTTAGATATGGGAATAAACGAATGATTATTAATTCATTATTTAAACGATTATTTTCACAAAAGAAAATTATGTCACAATCGGCTTTACAATTAAAAGGAATATTAGATACAACAAATGAAGTTTTAAACAGCTTACAAAATCTTAAGGTGTCCACAGACTCATGGGACCCTATAATTGTATTTTTAGTAGTTCAAAGGTTGGATCCAGATACTCATAAAGAATGGGAACAATTTTCGTATGATATGAGTCAAGAAGAATTATCTACCTGGTTTGAATTACAGAAGTTTTTAGAAGGAAAATTTAGAACGTTAGAATTGTTAAATCCACCTTTCAAACCAACTCTCAAGCCGTTAAGAGAACGTGTTTTCCACATGTCTATAGAGAAGACATGTATTATGTGTAAGGAAAATCATAGCTTATGTCGTTGCAAAACATTCTCAAAAATGTCACCTGCGGAAAGAAGTCACTATGCACAACACAACAAACTCTGCTTCAACTGCTTGGCTCCAGGGCATTCGGCATTTAGATGTAATTTACCTCTTTCATGTCGAATATGCAAGGCTCGTCATCATTCTCTTCTTCATCAGTCAACTAAAGCAAATGCGTCGGCATCTTTAGAACTCAAGCAACCGATGACATTACCTCAAGAAGAGGAGAAGACTCTTGCTACAATGACAGCTTTACATAATGTTACAGAACATATCAATCTATTGGCAACCGCAATTGTGGTTATAAAGGGAAACTATGGGCACACAACTGTACTTAGGGCGCTAATAGATTCGGGGTCGCAGTCATGCTTTATCACTCAAAAGGCAACTCAAGCACTAAAATTGCAACGCAAACCTGTAAATTTGGTCGTCACGGGTATGGATAATATGAAGGTAAACATCAAACAAGAAGTCAATTTTGATTTATTATC